GAGTACTTCCTATTTCTGGGCCTGCTGCTTGTCCTGTGTGACTGGGGCCAGCTGACACCTCTGACAGTTCTGATTAAGCCTCCAGTGCTCTTCAAAGAAGGTCTGGTTGGTCTGTACTCTGACAGTGACTGGCTCATCAAAGAACTCAAGGATGAATGCTGGGGGCCACTCCAGCTGCCTGTGGGCAAACACTAGAAGTCCTGTCCAATTAGGGAAGTAGTCCTGAGAACGCCAAACCCTTGTCAAGGAATTGCTCCATGAGATGTTCAAGGTTTCTCCCGTTCTGATCCTTATGTCCATATCTGCCTGACTTCTTCCTTACTCTCCACCACTACCCTGACCTTACTGGTTCCTTCCCTTTTCTGCAGTACTACCTCACCCCTCACTTTCCTACCATGGGTATACCCCAAAGAAAGGGTCACCCTGAACACACACATACCCAGCAAGTGGTACGTTTGTACCTGCGAGTGGCTGAGTTCCTTTTAGGTGTGTTCAACTTTTTGACATTGTGATGTTGACATTATGAAGTTCATGTTCAAGAATTACACAATCAAGTTATAAAATAAAAAGAACTCTAAATTCAAATAAGATTTTTTTTTTTTTTTGTCTTTTTGAGACAGGGTCTCCATGTATCCCCAGCTAGCCTAGAACTCGCCATGTAGACCAGACTGGCCTTGAACTCACAGATCCATCTGCCTTTGCCTCCCAAGTGCTGGGATTAAAGGCATGTACTACCACACCCAGATTAAGTTTTAGTTTGTGTGGAACCATATTCCCAGTGCGACTGAGGTCCATAGGTTGGACATGCCTGTTAGACCAGTAGTTTCCCCTGCCAGCTGCCAACCCTCTAAATGGCTGCCTGAAGCACTCAGCTCAATCCACATCCAGAAGACTGGGCCTGAGTGCTTTGATTTGTTTCTCCCCTGAAATTTAGCTCATTATTAAAAATAAAGTATTGAGTAAATGTATCAGTAGAGCCTATAATGTACCTATCAGGAAGTTGGTTCTTAGGGACAGGGTCTTACCTCTGACTGGGGTGGAACTTGGTAATATAGATTGGGCTGGCCTTGAATTTGCCGTTCTCTGTGTCTTCCCCAGATGTTGGGATTGTAGACATAAACCACCATGCCCAGCTTCAAAGTTGTTTTTACCCCATTCTTTGAGAGCTGATGCTTTTTTCTTAATCTACCCCCACCCCATACCAAGGAGCTTTGTACATCAGCAGAGGAATAATTCAGGGAGAGTTGAGTTGTACAATGAAGTCTTCACTAATGTGTCAGTTATTGCCAGAACTTCTTAGCTCATCAATGGTGTTTTGTCTGGCACTCACTATGTAGACCAGGCTGATCTTGACCGCACAGAGATCCACCTGCCTCTGCCTCCTGACTGCTGAGATTAAAGGCATGCGCTACCACACCCAACTTTTTTCCTTGTCTTGGTTCAGGCCTTTCTTAAGTAAAAGGAGTGCTGGAATGCAAGGTTCCTCATAGTTAAGTAGAAGAGTGGTGGGAACTCACTGGTTCCTGCATAACCTGCAGTTATGCAACTACAAGGAATGTCTGTGGCATGCAAGGCGTCTGGGTGTTCTGTGTCCACCCATGAAGAGCATGTGACCCTCCATTGGACAGATGACCAGGAAGTAGAGTAGCAATGCGATTGATACTCATCTCCTTTCTACCCAGCCTGGGGATGCAGGGACTGACCTGCATGCTCTCTTGAAGAATGCTTCCTGTACTGTGGGGGTGGGGATATCTGTTTCTAAGCCTGGATTTCCTGGTGGCTTTCTGGCAATAAAAGGAGATTTGAGTTCTTGGACTGAGACCTGAGTCTGGAACTCAGTGTGTTCCTCAAAAGCACTTACTAGAAGGAGAATGAGGAGTTTCCTGCTCTGTCTGGTGGAAGGTACAGACAGACTTACTTTGAACCCTGGTTTTGCCACCCAGTACTAATGTGACATTGAGCAAATTCTGCATCTCAGGGGGTTTCTTTATCTGTGAAGTTGGGATTAAAGGCCCCAGGCAGAGGCCCACCATATACACCAGAGGCAGCTTTGGGTTTCCAGGCCCTGCAAGGCATTTTGCCTGTGTTCTGGGTTATTCATGCACTGGCCTAGCATCTGCTGCTAGTCTGTAGAGGAACAGGGATTATCTTCCAAGTACAAGTACTCTGGTGTCTTGAATTCCCAGGAAGACAGGCACCACCTTGGACCTCCTTGGACCTTCAGCTTCCTCCTACTTGCAGGTAGCTCACGTGCTGCTGCTGTTCCTCTTGTCAGTTTCTGGGCCTCATAGGTGCTAAATTGTCTGAAGTAGTGTTACATGGTGTTGGTTCAGAACATAACTTCTGTTTACCAAATCTCAATCCTAGAGATTCCACCAGCAGCCTGGACGCATTGCCCTTAGCTTTGTGCCCACCTGTCCCCTCCGTTCTGTGTCGTTCCTTGTGTGACCAGTGATATTGGCAGCTGTCCCTCTCTCATCTTCCCTGTCTTCTAGTGTTTGTTCATCTTTTGGTCTTTTTTACTAAGTCAGAGTCTTTACAAAGTCTGTTCTTTTGTTTTTGGTCTTTTTGAGAAAGGGTCTCCCTGTAGCCCCAGCTGTCCTGGAACTCACTATGTAGACCAGGCTGGCCTTGAACTCACAGAAATCCGCCTGCGTCTGCCTCCGGAGTGCTGGGACTAAAGGCGTGCACCACCATGCCTGGCAAGGTCTGTTCTTTTTATCCTTCAAATAAAATATCTGCCGTCTCCTATTCCTACCTTCTTTTGTAAGAATGTGATTTGTAACTGGGCATGATAGTGCATGCTTGCAAGACCCTGTCCCAAAACAAACATCATTTGTGCAGTGTGCCTGCCTCTGACAGCTGGCCACTCGTTCCTGTTTTGCTGCTTCTCACCCCTGACCTTGATTAGAGGGAATGGGTTATGTGACTATGTGGCAGCCTCAAGGGCAGTTGGCAGACTTGAGGACTGGACTGGGAATCACATCTGAGCTTCTGCCTGGCACTGCTGACCTTCCTGCCTGCTCAGGAACATCCAGCTCAGATGCAAGGTTTACTTGTTGATATACAATGGAAGTTGTCACTGAATGTCATCTGTGATAAAAATAGTGTGTGAACCCTTGAAGTTGACTTTTTAAATTTTTCTTTCAGTATCTCTTTGTGTTATGTTTTTCAAGTAGGAGATAGCTTTATGAGCAGGAATTGTTTATTTTCTTAGCCCTGATTTAGTAACCAGGGGGTTATTCTGATACTCTTGAGAGTAGTGCTTTGGTCCATATACACTGTACAAATGATGCTATTGGTGAATTTTGAAGTTGCTGCTGTGCACATAGATTAGCTAGACATGGTCTTTCTTCTCCCTTCCATTCCATTCAAACAGGATAATATTTGAGCACATACCCTTCTGTGGCTACCCCTTACAGTTCGCAGTGGCGTCTCTGCTATAGAAACATCTTGAGATTCTCCCTGCTCTGACTTCCTCTGATCCTTAATAAAAATGAAAATTTTAGAGGGCTGGAGAGACGACTTAGTAGTTAAGAGCACTGGCTTTTCTTGCAGAAGACCTGGGTTTGAACACTAGCACCCACATGGAGGCTAACAACATCCCTAACTCCAGTTCCAGAGAATTGAATGCTCCCTTCTGTCCTCCAAGATCACTGCATGCCATGGGTGCACTTACATACATATAGGCATAATATTCATGTACATAAAATAAAAACAAATTTAAAAAAACTAACTCTGTAGTTACTTTAGTCAGTTGTAGGAGCTGTACGAACCAGTGTCAACATTATTTTCCAAGTATCACAGCCCCATTTGAACTATGGATGTACATGTTGCTGTGGAATTTGGGGAATCTAAGGACTAATGAGTGGTTTCAGTGATGGTGTCAGTTCCATTGTGGCTGGTGCAGTGGGACAGGAATGGCTCTGCCCAGACAGAGCACTGCCAAGTCGTCCTGCCTCAGTCCCACACCTGGTATCTGTGGACGTGACCTTGTGGTGGTCTAGCACCACACATATACAGCCACAGTGCACTTTCCTCCTGTTGCTTCTGAAGGAAGGGCCAGGTAGTGTCGTGCACTAAAAATATAATGAGACTTCCTGTGCGGTTTTCTAATAACTTTCTTTAAAAAATATGTTAAATTTTAATAGCTATTTAGTTCAGTCTAAAATATTACATGTTAGCATGTGATCAGTATAAGCAGTCATTAATAAGATGTTTTGCACCCCCATTTGGTTACATTCTTGGCACATCTCCATTTGGACTGGCCACATTCTGAGTATATGGCTGCTGTGTATAGCTAGTGGCTATATCACTAGCTGAACAGGTATCTTGGCCACCTGGAATGCTTGTCTCTCAGATCTGTGTATTGGGACCCACAGCCTTCTTCTGTTAGCTTTTTATTTCCTGGCTATGATTTATAAGCAGGGAGTAAAAGGAGATCATCCAATTTGATTTGCTCAGGAATCTTGGTCAGTAAGTGGCTCTCCGTAGATGTGGTAAGCCATGCTCTTCTGTATAGTCTTTCAGAGGGCTCCAGCAGAGGCTGCCTCTCAGCATCTGCAGACAAGAATAAGGGCGTGGTGGTACATGCCTTTAATCTCAGCACTGGGGAGGCAGAGACTGGCAGATCTCTATAAGATTGACGCCAGCATGAAGAGTGAGCTCTATGCCAACTGGGGCTACAGGGAGACCCTGTCTAAAAATAAAAATGGAAAAATAATAAGGGTGCTTCTAGCCTGTTGCACAGCCTTTACTTTTGGTCCTGGAGCTGGGCTCGGGGGTGACAGATTTTCTCTGTGGGAAAGCAACATTAAAAAATAAATCAAGCTGGGCATGGTAGCGCATGGGAGGCAGAGGCAGGCAGATCTCTGTGAGTTCAAGGCCAGCCTGGTCTATAAAGCGAGTTCCAGGTCATCGGGGGCTGCAGGGAGATGCTGTCTCAAAAAAAAAAAAGACATCAAGCAATAATTGAGTACTTTGTCTTTATCTTTTCATTTAGTGGACTAGAAGATGAACTCAACTGAATTCAGTGAAGATGTAGAAGAAGGTAAAAAAAAGTTTGTAATATTTTTGAATAAGTTATATATTCACATACTTCAAAAATTTTTGACGATATGTAACAAAAGCCCATTATAAACATCTTCATTTTATTTTTTAAGGTTTATTTTTATCATTTATATGTGTATGTGTGTGTATCTGTGTGAATGTATGCTGCATGTGCACACGTGCCCACAGAGCCCAAAAGAAACTGTCACATACCCTGGAGCTGGAGTTACAGACGATTGGGCAGCTACAGCATGGGTGCTGGGAACCAAACTCAGATCCATTGAAAGAGCAGCAGGTGCGCTTAACTGCTTCACCATCTCTCCAGCCCTATAGACATTTTATGTACCCTTCCTGAGTTGCTTTTTAAAACACCAAAAGATAGTATGTAGGACTGGTGATGTAGCTCAGTGGTATTTTGCTTGCCTTGCAGGCTAGAGCCCCTGGGTTAGATCTATCCAGCACTGCCATCAACCCCATGCCCTCCCCCTAAAATAGATGATACTTTTCTCCCTCTTCCCCATAAAAGACTTTTAAGCTCGTTTTTAATTTGGAACATGGTTTGATTGTGTAACGCTGGTGTATAGTAAGACAAAGACCATGTTGAAAAGTACTAGATACCATCTTTGGGTAACAGTGCCATAGGTGGCCCATGAACACCTGTCACTTAGAGAACTCTGCTGCTCTCCTATCCTTGGTCTGTCCTCCTGAGCCCTCTTTCTTCTCTACCACAGTTCTAAAAAATAACAATGTGAAGGTGGAGACAGAGGGTGACAATGCTGTGCTGGACTGCTCTAGGAATTCCAGGGCCTCTGAGAAGCACCCTCTGGACAATGTCTTCACTGCCCTCCAGGATTGCAGCAAACGGAAGCAACCAGGCAGCGAAGGCCAGCCAGACTCTGTCCCCAGCGTGAAGAGGCGGCGGCTGATACCAGAGGTGAGGGCTTGACCCCTTCTAGTCCAGTCCAAGCTGAATCTCTCTGTGCTCTGCTCAGCTGCTGAACCCTTGGGCATGAGAAGGGTTTCGTTTAAGCTTCCCACTTCTAGCTTTAGTTTCTAGAAGGTGCTTTCGACAGAAATACTTTTCTATGTTCTTATGGGGAAATGGTAGTCTTTACAGTACAACTGCTTTTGAGTTCTTGGTTTTGCTGTGCGTGTAGGGGTGCAGGGCAAGGACTTGTTGATAGCAAGGACTATTCATGGACATGTACCATGACTTTAAATGGTAGGCTGATCCCTGGTAATATTAGAGTTAGCAGGTCCTTTCCTAAACTAAGGATCTTTTCTGTCCATTAGGGGGACTTCTTTCCTAAACTCTTAAGTAAATTTTCTCTGTCACAGTTCTAAAGAAAATAACACTGAAGGGTATTTTATTTTGTAGAGTTGGGGATTCTTTGATATTATGCCTTTTACTCTCTAATTTACTTATTTTATACATTTGCCCTTTCTTTTGAGACAGGGTATTCTAGTTTCTCCCAAAAAGGTTTATTTTATCTTACATCTCCCAGGCTGTGGTTCATCACTGAGGGAGCCCAGGCCAGGAACCTGGAGGCAGGAGCTGAAACACAGGCCATGGAGGATAGCTACTTACTGGCTTGCTTCCCTGGCCCATGCTCAACCTGCTTTCTTATATAATACAGGACCTTCTGCCTGAGGGTGGCATTACCCACAGTGGGCTGGGCCTTCCCACATCCCTCACCAATCAAGAAAATGCCCCACAGACATGGCCACAGGCCAGTCCAATGGAGGTAATTCCCCAGTTGAGGCTCCTTGTACCTTGGTATGTCAAGTTGACAGCTAAAACTATCCAGCACACAGGGGTTCCTTCTAGCCCCAGCTGGCCTGGAACTCAATATGTAGATCAGGCTGGCCTGATCTGCCTGTCGCTGTTTCCCCACTTCTGGGATTAAAGGTATGCACCTGCCCCCCCCCCCCCCCTTTTTTACTAGTGGCAGTTGAACTCATTCATCCTTATGCATGCTAGGCAACCCTCTACCACCAAGCTTCATCCCAGGCTTTTTTGTACTTTTTATTGTATTTGAGATGGACCATTAACTTTCAGTGATCCTTCTGCCTCTGCCTACTGAGTCCTGGGACAACAAGTGCTTGCCACCATGCCTGGGTCTACTAATTTAAGTTTTGTGCAGTTCAGTGTGTGTCTGTGTGTCTGTGTCTGTGTATACACACAAAGTTGGGCAAATCACTTCCCCGGTTAATCATAGGACATTTTCATGGCCCTATTAGCAGTCATTCCCCATTCTTCCCACCTCTTCTGATGTAGTTTTTGTCTGCATGGATTTGCCTATTCTGAACATTTCATTTGGATGGAATCCTACAGTGTGTGGCCTTTTCTGTCCAATTTCTCACTTAGCATCAGGTTTCAAATTTCAGTCATTCTGTAGCATCTATCCTTCATTCTTTTTTTTTATTTTTTAAATTTAATTTATTTATTTACCTTTGGTTGTTTGAGGCACAGTCTCCCTTTGTAGCTGGCCTAGAGCTCACTGTGTAGACCAGGCTGGCCTCAGCTCATTATTGCTTTATATTAAGTTTTGAAGACAGGTAGTATCAACTCTTTGATACTTTGTTCTTTTTCCTTCAATATTGGGTTGGATATTCTGGGTCTTCACACTAAGATCAGGAACAAAATGAGGATCTCTTATCATTTCTTTTCAACATTGTACTGGGGTTCCTAGATAATACAGTAAGACAAAGAAAGAAAATAAAAGTTACAGTGCTTTGGAAGGAAAAAATGAAACTTTTACATGTATCAAGACTTTATGTAGAGCACCGAAGAGAACCATCAAAAGAACTACTGGAGCAGTTACAGGATTGCAAGCTACAAGTTTACTATACAAAAATCAGTTGGGGGAGATAGATCAGTGGTTTAAAAGCACTAACCATGCAAGTCTGACAACCCCAGTTTGATTCCTGGAACCTGTGAAGCTCTGAAGCCCTTGAGCCAGCTAGCCTGGAGCATGCACAGCAACAGACACAGGAGAGACCCTGCCTCACCAAGGTGGAAAGTGAGCACTGACTTCTGAAAGTTGTCCTCTGACCTTCACAGGGTAGGGAAGACATGAACACACAAAGAAATAGATAAAGGTAAAAGGAAAAGTACATTGGTATAAATTATTCTAATAAAGCATGTACAAATTATACATGAAGAATACTATAAAAGGTTTAATAAGGGGGTGGAGAGATGGCTTAGCAGTTAAGAATATGTGCTGTTCTTCCAGAGGACAGAGGACCCAGGTTCAATTCCCAGCACCCACATGGTGACTAGTAACTGTCTATAACTCCAGTTTCAGGGGGATTCAACACCCTTTGTCTCTGGAGCATTGCACACATGTGGAAAACTTAACATGCATGGAGGCAAAATACTCATACACATAATATAAAAATTATGAATAAAATATTAAACAAAAGTTAAAGCCAGGTGGCACATGCCTTTAATCCTTGCACGCAGGAGGCAGAGCTAGGTGAATCTCTGAGTTCAAGGCCAGTCTGGTCTACATAGTGAAATCCAAGCCAGCTGGGGCTACAGAGAGACCCTGTATCAAAAGACAGGGGGTCAGGGGGACTGGGAATATAGCTCAGTGGGTAGCGTGATTGCTAGCATGCACAAAGTCCTGGGTTTCATCCCCAGTACCATAGAAACCAAGCATGGTAGCCCACACATAAACTCAGCATGCCAGAGATAAGAGTATCAGAAGTTCAAGGTCATCCTCTGCTGCATAGTGTCTAGGGCTAACCTGGGCTACATGAGACACTGTCTTAGTAGAAAAAAGTTAAATAAATGGAGAAAGCTGAATAAATGAAGAGATATTCCATGCTCATAGATAGGAAGACCCAATGCAATCAAGATTGCAGCTCTTTCCAATTTGATCTGTAGGTTCAATGCATCCCAACCAAAATTTCAGTGAGCAATGATGGGAGATATTGTTGTGTAGTTTACTTTATCTGGCTTTAATAGTAAGGTAATCCTGCCCTCATTGAGGATGAGTTAAGATAAAATTCCTTCTCTCTGAAAGATACTGTAGAGAACTCCTATCATGGGCTGGAGATGTGGTTCAGTTGGTAGGGTGCTTCCCCCATGCCTCCCAAGTGCTAGGATCACAGGCCTAAACTACAAAGCCTCATTTATGCAGTGCTACAGATTGAACCCAGGGCTTTGTGCATGCTAGGCAAGTACTTTACTAACAACTAAGCAACATTCCTAGTCCCTAGTTTATTTTCTTTTTTGTTTAGTTTTGTTTTTGAAACAGGGTCTCCCCATAGCCCCAGCTGATCTGGACCTTGCTTTGGAAACCAGGCTGGCCTCCTAAGATCCAAGGACCTCTGCCTCCTAAGTGCTGGGATTGAAGGCGTGCCACTACCATGCCCAACCCTAGTTTATTTTCTTAAGGCCTTGCAAAGTTCCTCAGGCTGGCTTAGAACTCACTGTGTAGCCCAGGCTGGCCTTGAATTCATGGGAGTCCTTCTGTATTAGCCTTCAGAAGAGTGGTATGATATTTCATCTTTAATTGTTTAGTGCAGTATACATTTGAAATCATCTGGGCCAGTGGCTTTGTTTTTGAAAGGTTATTAATTATTGATTCCACTTTTTAAAATATGTTTAGCTGTATTTAGCCTTACCTGTTTGTGTGTGTGTGTGTGTGTGTGTGTGTGTGTGTGTGTGTGTAAGTTCATTTTCACCACGTAAAATATGCAGATGCACATGGAAGCCAGAGGGTATTGGATCCCCTGGAATTGGAGTTACGGGCTGTTGTGAGCCATCTGATGTGAGTGGTGGGAACTGAACTCAGGTCCTCTACAAGAGCATGAAGAGCTCTTAACTGCTGAGCCGTTACTCTAGCTCCTTATGAATTTGAGCAGATTAAGTCTTTTAAGGAATTGGCCCATTTCATCTAAGTTTTAAATTGTGAATATAGTCTATAGAGTGAGACCTGTCTCAAAGAAACAAAAAGATTGCAGCTGTTTTGTAATACTCTAGTATTCTTTTATTAGCCTTTCAGTGACCATAGTATCTATAGTGATATCTCTCTTTTCTAATTTTATTTTTATTTTATGTGTGTGTGTATACTGCCTGCATGTAAGTGAGTGCACCCGTGTCGTGCAGTCTCTCTTTTCTTTTCTTCTAGTTTTTTGAACTACGGTATCAGGCTACCCTTAACTTGCTATGTACCAAAGATGACATTGAACTTCCCAGCCTTGCATCTTTATCTCTCAAGTGCTAGGATTACAGGTGTGTGTCACTGTGCCAGACCATGTTCTTTTGTAACATATACTTTCAGTGCTGCATATTTCCCTCTTTGTACTGTAATCCACAAATTGATAAGTTGTGTTTTTCTTGTCACTTAGTTAAAAATATTTTAGAATTTCCTGGGGCTGGAGAGATGGCTCAGCAGTTGAGAGCACTGACTGCTCTTGCAGAGGACCTGGGTTCGATACCCAGCACCCATGTGGCAGCTATGAACTGTCCTTAACTCCAGTTCTAAGGGAATCCGAAGCCCTCTTCTGACCTCCACGGCATTGCATGACACGGGTGCACTCACATGCAGGCAATACACTCATACACATAAAATAAAAATAAATATTAAAAAAATTTTTTTTAGATTTCCTTTGAGATTTCAATCTTCTTTGATCCATGTGTTATTTGATTTTTAATATTTAACTCAGGGCCTCATGCATGCTGGGCAAGCACTGTACTTCTGATGTATATCCCCAGCCTAAGTCGTAATCACCTGGGAAGGGAGTCTCAGTGAGAGATCTATGGGTTAAGTTGGATTAAGCTGGCATGTCTACGGGGGATTATTTTGATCACACTGAGATGGAAAGAACTGCCTCCTGTGGGTGACACCATTCCCTAGGCAGGGGATCCTGAACTGTATGAGTGGGAAAGTGAGTTGAACTGAGCATAGCAGTCATGCGGTC